TTACTAAAACACCAGTTACCTGCTTTGAGCAGCAGTTTATGGTGCTTTCATGTCATGGATATTATCCAATTGTTTGGAGAAAGCACTCATTCCATCTTTGCTTATTAAAAGTCTGAAAATAGCAGTCATCAAGATCACTGCAGCATCTAAGCACCTATGTTCGATTTTCTCCAAGTTACCACGTATAAATTTCTAGGCTACTGAATAAAAAAATTATGTTAAATTGTAAGGGAGGTGACAGACACATGACTGCAGTAAAGAGAAGGTGCATTCAGTTCCCCAAATTGTTTGGTAGCAGAAAATGTAAGTATTGCTGAAAAAAGACATAGACTGTCAAAGTTTTCCATTTTGCTTTCAACTAAATCTCAAAGGGATGAACAATTTATATTGCCAAGAATAAGTGTCCTGATCGGTGATACCTTGGCTGTGATCAATCAAGGTGTGCCATGAACTGACAGATGAAACTAGTCATTCCCCAAAGATGCCATGCAGTTGTTGCACAAGTGGCATTATCCATTTGCATGGTGTTGGTACCAAGCCAATAAGATGTTTCACCTACTATGATATATGAATTGCAATGCCATTACAATACCAGATACATCACCCCCAAGGGCTGGTGGATGATATTAAAGAGCAAGTGGCTTTGGCTGTTTACAATAGACAGAGGATTGAACTGTAGTCAACCAACCCAGGCTTGAAAAACTCCCAAAATAATGCCTAATGTTAGATATAATTCCATAATTAAATACCATCTGGTGAACAATCCTGATAAAGCTAAGACTTACACTAACAACCAACTGAAGATTATTAGTCTGGTTTGTAAGGTGGCTCAATCATGTTAGCTAGAAGTTACGTATACATAGTCATATACAGCTATTGAGCTTTTTCAAAATTAGGCTACAGAATGGGGAGCAATGTTCTTCACGGAAATGCCTTGACCAACCACAGAACTGTTACAGTGCAAAAGGAAAACGTTTGGCTCATCATGTCTGCACCAGCTCTCCAAATGAGCATTCATGACTTGATACTATCCTCCTGCCCTTTCCCTGTAAATTTGCACGTTACTTCCATTTAAATATATACCTAATGCTGTCTTGGATGTTTCGATTGATTCTGCCAGCAGGTTGGACTTGCAGGGAGGAGAAGCCATCTAAGAACATTTCCATCACAGACCAGCGAAATAAGCCATTGTTTGTATTTTGGAGCTGGAAGGAGCAGCTTCCTCGTCCTGACCCCAGAAAATTTCTTTCATGAATATTTCTGGAATTTATTTTAGTGTACGAGCAGAAGAATGCTTGTGGTGAAAATTCATTCCTGAATTTTCCACGCCAGCATGGGGGACATGTTTAAAGTTGTTACAGTTTAAGTCCTCATTTAAAAGCACTCCCGCCAGTGTGAGTTTCAGTTCTCTGCTCATCCAGGATATGATAAATGACCTAGCAGCAAATGTCTTCTTCAGAAAGCTGGCTAGACTGGCTGGATCAAACTTACTATTGATGAGCAAAATAGTGTGAGTTAAGGAGGAAATTGGAAAGTAGATTGTAAAGACTTCCTTTGATCTATTGAGGTAAGTGTGTAAAAGATTGGATCAGGGTTAGGCTGAGCAAAGTGTTTGAGAATCCGACAATGTCAGCTCCAAAAGAATAATTTAACCTCCACTTTTACAGATGAAAAGCTGAACGAATGCTGAAGGTAGTCAGGTTATCTCCAGAATCGAAAACATGGCAGATAGTTTAGAATAATGCAGACATTCTACAAAGTTCCCACTCTCTTTCCCCTTTAACACTATAAGATGTGGGAACAGAAATAGACCATTCAGCCCATCGATCAGTTTCATGCTTTGAATATATGCATTGTCTTTAATCCAGTTTTTATCAAAAAAAATGAAGAGGCAATATTATCAACCTGCTTCTCCCTGAACTCTCTGCAGATGTCTAATTTTATCTCCAATCCCCATTTCCAATATAGTGAGAATTATACAATATTGCTTTTTATTTCTTAACCCATAAGCGGCATCTTAATGCCATCCCCAAGGACATCCATAAATTCTAATGGTGTCAGAATATCCCTCACAAATGAAGCAATCCACTCTCCATACCACTTAGGATCATAGAATCCCTACAGTCTGAAAGGAGGCCATTCGGCCCATCGAGTCCACACCAACTTTCCAAAGAGTATCCCACCCTGATGCAACCCCTTCCATCCCTCTAACCCTGCATTTCCCTTGGCTAATCACCTAGCCTGCACATTCCTAGCACACTATGAGCTATTGAGCATTGCTAATCTGCCTAACACATCTTTGGACTGTGGGAGGAAACCCACACAGACACGAGGAGAATGTGCAAACTTCACACATGCAGTCGCCTGAGGCTGGAATCAAACCCAGGTCCCTGGCGCTGTGAAGCAGCAGTGCTAACCACTGAGCCACCATGCCACGCATTACTTATTTCCTGAAGATGTCGTGACTGAGAATACTGTATTTCTAAATGAAAATCGAAAGAACTGCAGATGGTGTAAATCAGAAACAAAAGCAGAAATTGCTGGAAAAGCTCAGCAGGCCTTGCAGCATCTAATGAGAGAATTCAGAGTTAATGTTTCGGGTCCAATGACGCTTCCTCAGTATTCAGTTCTGATTTCTCTCCACAGATGCTGCCAGACCTGCTGAGGTTTTTGATACTGTATTTCTAGCCCTGTTATAGTTATATTTCATTACAGTCACTGTATCTAAACGCTCCATAATTATGAATGCAGTCATGTGGCCTTTACATACCACTGTAGCAAGTGGATATTCTGCAAAAGGCATGGCACCTGGTAGAATCACTTCAGGATCCAGTATCGTTGCATGCTTTTGAGACTCTCCGTTGGATATAGTGATTGTTTCAAACAACGTTTCGGTTTTCTCTTGTTAACTTGGCTTTCCCTTGAAGTAACACTGTCCTTGTAACCTTGACTTCTATGATATCATCAGCGACTGCTTTGTGATTTTTCGATAAAGTTCCTGTGATAAATCACTGTGGAAGCCAACTTTTATTCAATTTGGGTCAAGGTGGCCTAAACTGGAGAAAGGCCCCACAGAGTTTACACTAAGGGGTGCCCTAATAATGCACATTGCAGATGATATTAAATTATGCAGAAGATGATTTTTGATTTGCAGCTGAAAGTTTGCAGAAGAAACCATGAGCTACTTTAGCTCGTTTGAAATAAATCTTCTGGCTCACAGTGATAGGTTGCTCTGAAGGGAGCTTTAACTCTCAAATCTATTTAGAGTAACTCATTGTCTGCCATTTATTTCTGAGCTTGCAGCATTAAAACAAATGTTAGAATTGTAACAATGAAAGGCTGAATTTTTGAAAATGCTGTGCAGAACATGTTTACTAAAACCGTTTAAAGTGTTTAAAATAATGGATTTTGAAATAATCTTTTTTTGATCTAATTATACACATTAATCTCTTTAAATATTCATACATTTTGTTGGGCATGACATTAAAATATTAAAATTATCCTTATTTCATTTCTAAGTACTGAGATTGAGCATTTGGTGTCTTGCATTTATTTTACTGTCGAGGCCACTGCTGCAGAAAAAGACAATAAACTAAGTCAAATATTAAAGTGCACCAATGACTTCTGTGATATATTCGGTACCAAAATATTACCTTACAATTTTACACAACTGAAATTTTGTAATTTGCTGTTGCAATGGGGGCAAGGTGAGGAACTGAGAAGATGATGGCGATTTTTCATGAATTTTTTGATTATGTTCTAAAATGAATGCTGCCTGGTAACTAGAGTATCTCTTCCAGTGTCAATGCACTTATCTAACCTTCCTGCCACCTATCCCACCATCAGGGGAAAATTTGTCCCATGTTGTTAATAACTCGCTATAACATCGAGGAAATCTCCTGTCACATTGTTCATGGAGAATTGAGGATGTATTCTTCTATTACAGAAGGAACATTATCAGGAAAGTGTGACAAGGAAATTTTGACTGGCAAAATGTTGTTAATAGTATTTGTGGTATGGCCCAAGTTGTACATTATATTCAAAACATTTAACTATGCAAACTGATAGAAGAATTAATTCATTACTTAAATCTAAATACTTACAAAGTTAAGATTTCGTTTGCTTTATAGCTGTACGTAATTTCCTTCTAACAGTGAAATTATGTAGATCTTGCACAAGATTGCAAGCTGAAAAGATCTTGAAGATAGATTCTGTCGTGTTTGGCAGTTTGGGTACGATCGTGGCAAGTGTATACTTTTTGCAATCAACTTCCAATAAATGCTATTTCTGGATTCATTGGCTTACTGTGAGACCCCCATGGCCAGGCCATGTTTGAGTCAGAGGTCATTGGTTCAAGTTTCGTGTTGCAGTTTAAGTGCATAGCCTAGGTTTGGTGCTGAACCATTTCCAATGCTCCTTTTCAGATGGGACGTTATGTTGAAGCTACATGCCCCTCTCTGTGCGTACAGAAAAGATCTCATGGCACTAGTAAAGGAAATTAATATTGGAGAAATATACGTATTACTTGATGGAACAGACACAATTAAAGCAGAAGTAATGGTGCTCTCCTGTTGTCCTTGCTGACATTTAGCACTAACCTAACAGATGCATAAATGATGCATCACATTGCTCTTCGTGGGAATGTCCTGTGAAAATTGACTGCCACCTGAGTGCTCTGCCCAGTGTAAATGAGTGGCGTCCCAGCAAGCTTCTTGTTGGGATGGGTTTGCCATGGTAGCAGTGTTAACCATCATGCTGCATGAACACCTGACAGCAGGTTGCCCCAGTGGTGGTTGCCTCACGGGTTACAGGTAGGGATGTACCTCCCCAGGTCCTGTAGCTAAGTCAGATAAACCGGAATTGCCTCCCACTTTCAGCTCTGACATCTGCTGCCCCAGTAAAAGTCCACCCGTTGTCTTCTAACTGTTTGGTGCTTGGAAGGTATTGTATAAACACATTATTTCCTTATGTGCTGTTGTGACAAAATTAGGTGAACACTGTTTCAATACAAGGCACTCAGTTTTATTTGCAAATTTTCTATTAACAATTAATAACAGGGTAAAAATTTGCATTATAAAAATACATGACAGAAAAGTCATTTCATGATCTGAATTATGAGGACTTTATCTGTCACGCATCCCTCGTCTTACTCCTCATCGTAAAATATCATACCTGCAAGGGTTTCTTTAATGATCGCCATTTGTAGGTAACTGCATGAGAAGCATCAAGTATTTATTACATTGAAGAATAAACCAAAAAAGTGACCTTATTTTGAAAGTGTAATTTGTCTTATACACAAATGGAAATATAACCCTTTTGATTCTAGATGACTGCAGCACAATTCTAGTTTGGCAATAAAAAAAGCTCACATTGTAATTTTACAGGGTTTTATAACTGAGTGTTTTATGTCTATTACAATTTAAAATGACAGAAGTTGAATATACCACATGTATTAAAGGCTTCCCCTGTCATTTAATATGACCATATTTCAAATCATTGGGTGCTTAATGGTGGTCACGAACTGAATACGTGCTGCTCACTTCGAATGATATTTCAATTGAGTTCCTAACCTTCTCACAAATTACAGGAAAAATTATGACCAAGAGCCCATATCAATCCACACATTTTCAGCACTTTGCATCATCACAGAACAAATTGCTTTCAACAGGATAAACATGATTGAAACAATGACTTGGGGATAAATAAAACCATCAGTTCATAACAGTTATCAACTATTTGCCTTGCTCTCTCTCCTCATCAACTACATACCACAAAAGATTGCAAGCTGAAAAGATCTTGTCTTGTGACAGTTTTTCAAAGTTACAGGCAAATTTAAATTTGTTTACTTTACTCCAACGCTCCCTGACATAAAAAGGCATGTTGATATAAAATTTATGTCACCAAACCTAAAAAAAAACTATTGAAGAGTACAGGTATTCAACCTTTCATTGTGCTTTGCATTTATTTACATATATTTAACTCAGTTAATGTTTGTTATGTATTTTGAAAGATTTACAGAATTAAGTGTGCAAAATTCTTCCAACAGAAATTAAGAGGCTCTCCACTCATTACAATCAAGCATTGGTGGGAGATAGGACTGCACGTGACTTTCAATTCTGCACTTGCATCTAGCAAGCTTTCTTTCCTACTTGTTCATACACAACATTTGGAATAATTTATCTAAGTCCACATAACCATATTCATGCATTATATTAGTTGAGGGTGAAATTCCTTAGGTTTCCACTGCCGTCCTGCTATAGCTCCAGTGAGAGACTGATGAAATTCCTCAGAAAATGGTAGAGACAGGTGGCATCATATCACTGTTTTTTTCTGGCAATCTCCTGTTTGTTCTTACCTTCTTCAGACAGGGCAAACTGTCAAAGTGGGAGGGAGGGGTTGCTGAGCTGAGATAAAGGGCCAGAAACTGGATGTAGTATTGATTCGGGGCAAGAAATGGGCGCTGAATACAAATCACCACCATTCCTGTATTAGATCATGACTGAATATTGCATGCACCTCTAACTAATATACAATATGGTATTTAGTCACATTTCGTGAACATTCTGATAGCTAGGCCCTTGATTTCGCCTGTGCTGATCAAGAAATGGGCCTTTATTAGCCAAGGTAAGTCCCATGTACATTAGGTGCCCTTCTGCTGACCTCATATATCCCACTGGATCAGCATCAGTGAACACCATCCCAGCATAAGTGCAAGGATCATGACCGCTGAGTTATCTGTTCCTTGATCCCTTCTTTAAACTGTGTTTTAATTGTGCCATTGTGTTGCACCTATTCGAATGATTAAGGAGGGTCATCTGAAGATGGGTCATCTGAAGATGGGTCATCGGATCCGAAACATTAACTCTGCTTTCTGTCCACAGATGCTGCCAGACCTGATTAGCTCAAAGTTGGCTGTTCTTTACCACCAATCCTGACAGCCCTCTACCACCCTGCACTTACTCCCCCTCAATCACACTTTAGAAAGTTGCAGTGATCAGATTGTGAAAGTCATCTGTGCAGTACAATCAGCCCTGCGAGATAATGATGCTGGCGTGACAAATGCTAATTTTATGCTTTGATGACAGGTTATTTGTAATATCATTCTGTATCATTCAACATCGTGCCTAGGAAAGGTCAAACATTATGCTGCATGACAAGATACTTTGTCCCTTTTGAAAAAAGCAGCAATGACAATCAGGAGTGGAAATCCAATGTACAAAATGTATGTGACTATAAATCACAACAGCACACAATACTATGAAGTAAATTTAACACACTGTCCATTAGTGACACTTCAGAAATACTGTAAAGACAAAATGCATGAAGCAAAATAAAATAACTATTTAAGACCGTTGGCCCTTTGCACAAAAAATGATTACTTCAGTTAATTTACCAATACTATGAAAGAATGAAATCGGTTATAGTTTTTGCATATTAATCTAGCTCTACTTGGAAATAGGTATCAGTCAAAAAAATACAGAAAATAAATTTTGAGGATGTGTAATTGAAAAAATGTGCATACCCCGACATAAGATTTTCAGTACTCTACCCTGTAAATGTTAAATTGCAGCAATAAACTCGGTAGGGAGGCAGGGGTGGATTGATGTTCGGGGAGAATACAACTCAAATTTGCTGTTTCTTATCAATTACTGATTTTGGGAATGGACTTATCCAAAATTGTCAAAAGTAATAAAACTGAAATTAAGACGTAAGTATTACAGTTAGCTTCTTCTTGTTGCCCGCAACTTCACCACCTTGAGATTACATTGTAAGAAGTTTCATATGTTTTGAAGAACCTCTGCAACAACTGCCAGCCTCTGTTCAAGTAAATGGCATCAAATTCATAAATAATTTGGATGACATTGTTCTACTTCATTGCTGTTTTGCTTTGGTGTGAGATTTGCTAAACTGCTCCTATTTTATTATCTTCTGCACACATCCAGTTGATTGGAATCAAAATACTTAGTTGTTTAAAATTGTTTAAAAAAAAGAAAAAAAAATCACCTAGTTTATTTATCACCATGTAGCAACAGTGTTTTGTTACTGACATTGTAGTGAAGGAGTTGCAGTTTTAAATCAGTTAAGACATAACTGCATATACAGATGAGAGTACTGATACTGTCAAATGTACACATATGCTTACATATATTAAATATATATGTATTAATAGCAACTATTTTATTTATCAGTGACATTTCGATACTAGCAATTGAGTTATTATAAAATAGCGAATACTAGATTTTCTGTTAAGTTCAAAACAAGTTTCCTCTAAGAAAACTCAAGCCCTGACACTAACAGTCATGAAGAAAATACACTGATGTATAATTTTAAATATGTGTGGTTTACACTGTTCCTTTTTCTTGTGAGGCTAAATAAAAAGGCATCCACCAGAACGGGTCAAGGAGGGCTTTAGGTGAGGAGCTGACGGATCTCTTTGTGAACATAGCAGAGGAAATCCATGTAAGAAGCTCCTCCGTGCAAGCCTTTATCTTCCACTAGGAACTGTCTGAAGATCCCCTCTGATTTGTCTTTTTGCTTTAATATTATTAACTACAAATGGAAAGAAAAAACAGTCAGACTTAAGATCCAGGTTACACAATTTGTTGCAAAAACTCCTTGTTTTATATAATTCCTTATGACCTGACAAATACTTTATTACAGCATCTTTTGCCTCATCTCCCTACCAGAGAGTTGACAACCTAGTGGTCTTACCGCTAGAATTATTAATCCAGAGACCCAGATAATATTCTGGGGGCCTGGGTTCAAATCCTGCTAAGGCAGATGGTGGAATTTGAATCCAATAAAACTCTGGAATTAAGAGTTTAGTGATGACGAAGAATTCTTTATTGACTGCTGGGGAAAAATCCATCTGGTTCACTAATACCCTTCAGGGAAAGAAACTGCTGTCTTTATCTGTCTGAGACTCCAGACCCACAGCAATTTTTACACTCAACTTTCTACTTGACAATTAGGCAATTAGCCTAGCCAACATCTAATGCATACAAAATAAGGAATTTTTGTTTTTTGAAAGTAAAGGAATTGGTCTAACTTTTGCTCATAAACTCAGAGTTTAACTTACGACATCACATTCAGCACTGTCATGGAACTAACAAGGACTTTTCAACAGACAGCGCTTCAGTAAGTTTTAGTAATATGCAAGGTGTAAGGCAGATATGGATGATATTATATGCCAAATATTTCTAATTCCAATTTCTAAAATTCTTTCACCAGATGCAAATATTACAAGCTGTAAAGGGAATTAATACCTATACTGCGGGTATAGTTACTGAGCATGTACAACAGGAACTATGTCATTCTGGTATCAGATGACATGAACTGGAGTTTAAATCTGTAGAATTCCTAGTAAGATGTCCTTCTTATTAACCGCTGTATCCAGTTAGGCCAGCAGTCATTGCTCATCCTTAACGACCTTTTGTAGGTACACCCATAGCGCTATTAGAAAAAATTCCCCTAAAAAGTTTGTAAAGTAAATATTAAAAAGTCACTTTTCACTTCTATGTTTGCATGTAAAAATCAAAGGTATATGCAATGAGCTATGTTATTAATTGAGAAGGGAACATGACTATCCCTGTCTCATTCTCCATAAATGTTGTTTTCTTCCAATGACAGACAGTAATAACAATGAAGGAGCATTGGTAGGTCTCCAACAATGCTGCTCAAACAAAGAGCTGTAGATGAAATCCAGATGACACTCTACCCAATTTTCCTTGCTCCAAGTGCCAAGTGTTCTCATTCCAGAGATGAAAGGCTTGTCTTAGGAGGAGAGATTGAGCAGTTTAAGCCTGTACTTGCTAGAGTTTAGAAAAATGAGAGGGAATCTAATGAGCGATGAGATGCTAAAGGGGCTTGACAAAGCAGATGTAGAGCAGATGTTTCCCCTTGTGGGGCAATCTAGAATGAGAGGTCAAAGTTTTAGGCTGAGAAGTAGTTGAGGACGATTGACTTCTCTCAAAGGATGATGAATCAGTGGAATTCACTACCTCACAGCACAGTGGATGCTGGGACATTGATTAAATTTAAAGAGGAGATAGACAGATAATTATAGTGGCAGGTTAAAGGGTTATGGGGAGCAGGCAGGAAAGTGGAGTTGAGGTTGAGATGAGCTGACCTGTAATCGTAGGTGGGGCAAGCTTAAAGGATTGAATTGCCTACTCCTGCTCCTAGTTCCTATATTCTCAACATCTCTCTAAAACAGTATTCAGTGAAATCACTAACCCAGCAGTGGTGAGCGAATCACAAGCAGAAAAGATGTTCACAACTGAGCAGTCATAACACTTTGGTTACAACATTCCTGTTTTATTGTGACAAAAAGAAAAAATTGCTTTATGGAAACTCCTTTCTGATGACATTTCACTTCTATTATTGTCCTTCAAATGATTCAGTGGAGCATGCATTGTTCCCTACTCATTTAACATACTGTGATGTCATGTTCTAGGTTATGAAATTGGGGACATGTGTACATTGTGAAATATGTTTATAAACAGGGTGAATATAACTAAAGTTTTCTCTTAGCATTTCCATGATGTCTATTACTCACCAAGTTTAGCACCAGGTTTTGAACCAATCAAAACAAAGTAGTGATAATTGCGATTAAACACCTTGGGAGGTGGAAAACAAGCCTCTTGGTCTATTGAAGCACATTTGTGCCAGTAGTTTTCATGTCAGTAGATTGCACAGAGGGGGTCTGCCTACATTCTGAGATCCTCATACTTATGAATTGCGTATGTAATCCCAAAGTGATTTATGTCATCAGTAAGGAACAGGTAAGTGGAAACTGCCCCCAGCTTCTACCGTTGTACAAGTCACTTTGCAGCAATATACCAGAGAGTAAAAGAAGGCCCAGAGAGGACCACCAAAGGAACATTCTCAATGTTAAAGAAATATAAAGCTGAATAGGAAGTGACCAAGAAATGCCTGGTGACAGTGCGTTAGTGTGGTAGGACATGGAGGAATGAATCAAGAATTAAACAAAACCACTGGAGCCTTCTGCCTGACAATGCCAGATTGCTCGCCTGGTTGGTGGGTGGAATATGTATATGTAGCAGGAGAGTGTAGCTGGGGTTCCACAGCAGATAGTGGGAATCAATGTCATTAATGGAATGGAAGAGAATCATAAAATCACAGAATCCCTACAGTGTGGAAAGAGGCCATTCAACCCATTGAATCGGCACTGACCCTCCGAAGACTCACCCCCTTCCCCTATCCCCATAACCCCATTTTCTCCATGGCAAATCCACCTAGCCTGTATGTCCCTGGACACTATGGGCAATTTGCATGGCCAATCCAACTAAGCTGCACACCTTTGGACTGTGGGAGGAAACTGGAACACCCAGTGGAAACCCATGCAGACATGGGGAACCATTGCAAACCCCACATAGCCAGTCATCTGAGGCTGGAATCAAACCCAGGTCCCTGACGCTGTGAGGCAGCAGTGCTAACCACTGAGCCACTGTGCTGCCCTAAATGGGGGAGCAGGTTAAGAGATTAGCATACAATATCTGACTATGTGGGGGTAGCCCATGAAAGGGGAATATTACTCTCTTGTAGAAGCATTCCTACTGATCCACAAAAATATCCGAGAAATGAATTTAGCACAGATTATCTAGTCCTCCTTTAGCCCAGGAATCCCCAAAGGTTTTACCTGGTAGACAAAGTAACACTGCTCCCTTAGATCAAGAGGATCTGATCCTCATTTTTAAAACAATACCTTGCCCTGTGAGTGTTCTGCTCAATTGTTCAAAAAATGTTTTAATATAGGGACATGGAGAGTGGGATCAGTGGAAGTAAATGATCATTCACGTTTCTGCCATTTGAAGTATATTTCACTTATTGAAGCAATACATTTGCTGATGTTTACTCTATAGCCCTGAGTATCACTCTAAGTAGGCTTCCAGTAAGTAACCACAGAAAGTAGTGACCCGCCAAAGCAGAATAAGACCACAGGAATGTAATCACCGAGGAATGTTCCCTTGGTTGAACTGGGTTGGGGGAATAAGTGCTGGTTGTTGAGAATCAGGAAGCGGGGTACTTCTGGGAGCTCTCGGGCTTGAAAGAGAGGAGGACCAAAATTCAGCAGGAGCTGGGGAATGTGGATTGGGAGCAGCTGTTTGAGGGTAAATCCACATTTGATATGTGGGAGGCTTTTAAAGAGATGTTGATTAGAGTGCAGGACAGACATGTCCCTCTGAAAATGAGGGATAGAAAGGGCAGGATTAGGGAACCATGGACGACAGGTGAAATTGTGAGACTAGCAAAGAGGAAAAAGAAGCATACGTAAGGTCTAGGCGACTGAAAACAGACGAAGCTTTGGAAGAATATCGTGAAAGTAGGACCAATCTGAAACGAGGAATTAAGAGGTCTAAAAGGGGTCATGAAATATCTTTAGCAAACAGGGTTAAGGAAAACCCAAAGCCTTTTAGTCATACATAAGGAGCAAGAGGGTAACTAGAGAAAGGGTTGGCCCACTCAAGGACAAAGGAGGGAAGTTATGCGAGGAGTCAGAGAAAATGAGTGAGATTCTTAATGAGTACTTTGCGTCGGTATTCACCGAGGAGAGGGACATGACGGCATAAGGAGGGGGGAAAGTGTTGGGTATTCTAAAAGGCATTAGGGTGGACAAGTCCCCAGGTCCGGATGGGATCTATCCCAGGTTACAGATGGAAGCGAGAGAGGAAATAGCTGGGGCCTTAACAGATATCTTTGCAGCATCCTTGAGCACGGGTGAGGTTCTGGAGGACTGGAGAATTGCTAATGTTGTCCCCTTGTTTAAGAAGGGTAGCAAGGATAATCCAGGTAATTATAGACCGGTGAGCCTGACGTCAGTGGTGGGGAAGCTGCTGGAGAAGATACTGAGGGATAGGATCTATTTACATTTGGAAGAAAATGGGCTTATTAGTGATAGGCAGCATGGTTTTGTGCAGGGAAGGTCATGTCTTACCAACTTCATAGAATTCTTTGAGGAAGTGACAAAGTTGATAGATGAGGGAAGGGCTGTAGATGTCATATACATTGACTTCAGTAAGGCGTTTGATATGGTTCCCCATGGTAGGCTGATGGAGAAAGTGAAGTCGCATGGGGTCCAGGGTGTACTAGCTAGATGGATAGAGAACTGGCTGGGGAACAGGAGACAGAGTTGTAGTGGAAGGGAGTTTCTCAAAATGGAGAACTGTGACCAGTGGTGTTCCACAGGGATCTTCGTTGGGACCACTGTTGTTTGTGATATACATAAATGATCTGGAGGAAGGTATAGATAAGTTTGCAGATGACACTAAGATTGGTGGAGTAGCAGATAGTGAAGGGGACTGTCGGAGAATGCAGCAGAATATGGATAGATTGGAGAGTTGGCCGGAGAAATGGCAGATGGAATTCAATCCAGGCAAATGCGAGGTGATGCATTTTGGAAGATCCAATTCAAGAGCGAACTATACGGTAAATGGAAAAGCCCTGGGGAAAATTGATGCTCAGAGAGATCTGGGTGTTCAGGTCCATTGTACCCTGAAGGTGGCAATGCAGGTCGATAGAGTGGTCAAGAAGGCATACGGCATGTTTTCATTCATCGGACGGGGTATTGAGTACAAGAGTTGGCAGGTCATGTTAAAGTTGTATAGGACTTTGGCTCGACCACATTTGGTATACTGCGTACAGTTCTGGTCGCCATATTGCCGAAAGGATGTGGATGCTTTGGAGAGGGTGCAGAGGAGGTTCACCAGGATGTTGCCTGGTATGGAGGGCGCTAGATATGAACAGAGGTTGAGTAGATTAGGATTATTTACATTAGAAAGACGGAGGTTGAGGGGGGACCTGATTGAGGTCTACAAAATCATGAGAGGTATAGACAGGGTGGATAGCAAGAAGCTTTTTCCGAGAATGGGGGACTCAATTACTAGGGGTCACGATTTCAAGGTGAGAGGGGAAAAGTTTGAGGGAGATATGCATGGAAAGTTCTTTACACAGACAGTGGTGGGTGCCTGGAACACGTTGCCAGCGGAGGTGGTAGAGGCGGGCATGATAGCGTCATTTGAGATGTATCTAGACAGATACATGAATGGGCAGGGAGCAGAGGGATACAGATCCTTGGAAAATAGGCGATAGGTTTAGATAGAGGATCTGGATCGCCGCAGGCTTGGAGGGATGAAGGGCCTGTTCCTGTGCTGTAATTTTTTTTGTTCTTTGTTCTTTGACCAGTGTACAGGAGACCCAAACATCTCTTATATTCTGACTCCTCAAGGTCCCAAGAAAAATGCACAAAACACACCCTGAATAGTCTCTTCTGCTTCTTCTGACAAACCTCAACCTGGTGGGAAAGCCGGCTTTCATGCTTCGTCACAAGGTAAATTTGCAATTGGCACCCAATGATGGCATTGGATGCCATGTTTCTTCATTAGAGATGGACCCCTCTAGTTCTGGAAGGGAGGTTTCAGCACCTAACACTGGAGACTATAATTACAAATCTATACCTTAATAAATGCTTCATGAACATAGTGCAGACCTACAACAGCAAGGTGTCAAGTGGGCTCTTGTTTAATATCACCCATTGATAAACTGGCAAATCTGTTCTGCTTCGCAATTAAATCGACAATTAGAATAAAGAATGAGTTGTTTTAAGACGTCTCAAAAAGAAACCTGAAAAATAACAAACATCTCTGCTTACCTTCATGGAAAAAGGATTCTGGTTTCTTAAGTTGGCAATGATTGACCTAATCTTCTTTGAATATGGATTGTCCAGTTCAGGTAATGAGGTCTGTAACAAAATGCAAGTTGACTTTGGTCAAAGTGTGGTGAAGTACTTTCAGGTGATTACCATCCATTTTCAGATGGTCATAGTAGGCTTAAGTTCAGGATATCATGTTGTGATATACACCTGTCCCATCACAAAAGTGCAATGTCACTGTTACTTTTACATACATTTTACTTAGATAATGTGAAAGTTAGTAATAATCCATAGCTGATTCCAATTTTCCAATCTGAAATGTAAACTCGTGTTAGGGCCCTTGTGGCGTAGCAGTGGTGTCCCTATCTCTAAGCTAGAAGACCTGGTCTCAAGCCTCACTTGCTCTTGAGTTTGTGTCATAACATCTTGGAACAGGTTGATTAAGAAAAAATGTAAATCTATGTTAAGGGAAACTCAAAACATCTCCTCAAGAAGCTCAAATAGCTGGATTTCTATTTTCAGAGAATGAACATTTATATTTTTTACAGGAACTGCCCCTCATGCCTCACTGCTGGGTTGTGTTTTTCATTGTATCATAGTGTGACAGAAAGTGATATAAATTTGCCATGTGCACACAGATATCCTACCATAATAACACTATTCATTATTTTGAAATGTGCAAACCTAGTCAGAATCTTTAGACCTGAGCGGGAGCGAGTGTGGATATGGCAGGTGTGGAACATCACCCTGCTGGCCAGTGTACCAGCTGGCACCATCCTAGCTTAGGTCATTTCTCTGGAGGTCGGAGTGTAGGACTACCCACTAAATCAATGAATAACTGAGTTAAAGCCCTATTAAGGCCAATTGTCAGAAATCCAGTGGAATTTTCTCGTCAGCCTCTGGGCTTCCTGAGGTATGGTAAGCAGGCGAGTTTCCTGGAGGATGTCTCCCGATGGAATACTGGGAGACCAGTGCTCCAGACAGCTTTAAGGCTCTCTGAGATCTCATGGATCCAGTTGCAGGCTATCTTGTACAGGGCATGTTTTTTGTTTCAAATTTAAGGAAGTTGCAGAGGAAGTGCCTCACAATGGAAGCTTTTACTTACCTGAACTGCAGGTTGCTGCTTTCTCAGTGTTTATTACTGGCTCTTCAGCCTTGACAGCTTGCCAGACTATTCGACAGTGACTGCATTCTCTGGTCACTAATTAACCAATACGGGGAAAATCACTTTTGGGTCACAGTTCACCATACAGGACAGGCCTGCGACCCTCAATGTGACACTGTCAATCCAAAGTGAAAAGTACTGCCCGTGATGTCAACGTATGAAATATTTAAATGAAACATTTACAAGTGCCTACCCTTGACTCGACAGATAGATCTCCTGCGTCTGAAACAAAGAATTTAACCCCAACGTCAGTGACTTGAGTACAAAGTTCAGGGCTGGTTCTGTAGTGTAGTTTGGATAGCACCATCAGAAGTGCCAGCTTAAGGATGAACAGTTAAGCTGAGGTCTTGCCTACCTTCTAGGTGGATGTAAAAGATGCTGCAGCACCACTTATAAGAAAGAAGGAAGTTTTCCTCAGTGCACTGGCTAATATTTATCCCTCAATCAACATCAGTAAACATGGGGTTACTTGGGCATTACTTGTAACTGCTACTACTCTCCCATTGTGAGGTTGTAGAGCGCATCAGTAAATCATGTTCCTGCAAATAATTGGGGTTTCTGCCATATTTCTTGTCAGAGTTTTGAAGTGGGGTATGAGCAAACTGAGAAAATTCTGTTTGAATGATGTTACAAATCAATCAGCATCTGCAAACATTTTGGTCAATTCCCACAAAATCAGTTTATTGGATTTCTCAAACCTAATTCTTCTAACCCTCTTTCCTGCAAAATATAATTAAATTAGCACATGGGGGAGGAAAGCAAGGTTAATTTTAGCAATTTCAAGTCAAATGTTAAGTATTTTTCACATATAACTTACGAGGTCTGTGTTGATATGTGCAAAGGAGGGTACATTAAAGATGCTTTGGATCAGCTCAGGTTGAGAGTTCAGTCCCAGCCACAGGAACATATTTATCCCATTCTCCAACAAAAAGATTCCTCCATCAGCTAAACGTTCCTCTGAGCAACGAACAGCAGCAGGAATCTCCTCACTATTTACATCCATCTTGTGCTGTTACAAAACAAAGAAGTGTTCAGCTGAGTCAGTAGTTAGTGAGTATGCATTAACATAGGGAACATAGGAAAAAAGTAGACCATTCAACCTCTCAAACTGTTCTATTACTCAATTAGATTAATACTAATCTGTACCTTATCAAACAAAAATTCCACTAATTTCATCTTCAAAATTTTCAAGAGACAGACGTCCAGATTTCCACTGTCCTAAGTGTTTCCTGATATCACTATTGCGAAAGCTAACTTTAATTTTAGGATTAAGTCCTGTTGTTCTGGCCACCTTCACCAAGTGATGTAGTCCAAAGAATCGTAGAAGGGTTATACCAAAGAAGGAAGCCATTTGGCCTATTGTGTGTATGTGCTGGTTCTCTTCAAGAACAATTTTCTTGTGTCACACAGAGTCATACAGCACCGAAACAGACCCTTTGGTCCAACCAGTCCATGCCGAACATAATCACAAACCAATCACACCTGCCTGCATTTGGCCCATATCCCTCCAAACATTTCCTACTCGTGTACTTATCCAAATGTCTTTTAAATATAACTGTGCCCACATCCAATACTTCCTCAGGAAGTTCATTCCACACGTGAACCAGCCGCTGCGTAAAAAATTTGCCTTTATATCTTTTTAAAATCTCTCCCCTCTCACCTTAAAAATGTGCTCCCTAGTCTTAAAATTCCCTGTTCTAGGGAAAAGACACCTACTGTTAACCCTATTCATACTCCACATGATCTCATAAATATCTATAAGATCACCCACTCACCCACCTTTTCCCTGTCGTCTCCTCTTCAGATAAGATCCACTTCTCTTTTGAAAGCCATGATTCAAATTGCCTCCACCACAACTTGGGCATTGGATTCTGGATCCTAACCACACAATGCCTAAAAAATTTCTTCCCCATATTGCTACGGCATCCTTTGCCAACCACCTTAAATTTATATCAACTGATTCTGAATCCTTACACCAGTTTCACTCTAACCATCCAATGACATGTGAACTGTTTTAATCATCTTAATCACCTCAACTTGATCATATTTTAGTATTCTTAATGCAGGGGAATACAAACTCAATCTATGTAACCTGCCTTCATAACATCTCTTTTACCTCAGGCATCATTCTTATTTAGCTGCATTCCTCCCCATCCAGTGCCTATATATCATACTGAGGTTTTTCATTGCTTGCAGCACATGAGATACAACAGAAACTGCAATACAGATATAATTCATACAGGAAAACCCTAACTAATAGTTAAAAACTCAGCAGCATTTGTGATTCCTCTATGAATTGATTACTTTCTATAAAGCTTTAATTAGACTTTGAAGTGTGCTGGAAATGAAATAGAACAGTAATTAATACTAATTATTTATGACCTAATATGTAAAGCTAGCACATTTTGACAGCTCTTCTGGCTTTCTTCAAAACCTCCTAGAGTTAAAATTACTGTTGCAGTTTAACCCATTTCTAGCCTAACACTTGCAGTCAGATTTTAAAAGTTGTGGAAACCTGGCAACAATTTAATAAGATCTAGCATTTCTTTATCTTTTGATATCATTAAATAAACAGGGTTATTTCATCCTTGTAAATCTAACATCATAACAGTGGTGTCATATTTGTCTGGCCTCAATGAGTAGTAAAATCTTAATTGTTTTCTTAAAGCCTTGAAAAGGGAAATACCTACAGTATTGCATCCAAGAACCACTCGGTCCACTGTGGAAGGCAGACAATAATAAATCTAGAAGCGTATAGCATATATGTTGAGCAGAGGTTTCTCGGGACTCCATTACGGATGACAGAGAAGCATCACCCAAATCAGATGCAAAACTTCCCAAATGTTAAACTTGCATGTCTTCACTTACGATAGGTAAAAGCCGTGGATAGAAAAAGGATTGGGTGCTGACCACATCCATAGAAGTGACCAATAGTCGTTGGAAAGCTCGCTCATCTGTAGGAAGTTCAGAACTCCCCAGTAAAACATAACTCTTTAAGAGACAGTTCATGTAGACTGGCAGCAACTTCATGGCCTCTGGAAGGATGAGCTAGCAGACAAAATAAAAACATGGTTCAATAACAAGGACTCTTCACACAAAAGAACAGACCTTTATTTCTGTTTAATCAAATGAAAATTACTTTGCAATGTGCGAGTAATATATCTGCTAATTTTACATTAGAAAACAATGTGATTTCTGCTTACAAATTGGATTCTTAAATGTTCTACATTAGTAATGATAGTGCTTTGAAGTCAGTCCAACACAATCCAGTACATGACTGAAAGAGTCAGCTGATATAGTGAGGAGTGAGGGCAGGAAATATGAAAAGCGCCTTCTTGTCTAGTTATTCCAGTTTAAGTTTCAATCCATCTGTCCTTTAGTGGAGATGATACACAATTTTAATCAAACTGGACAGAACCTATGTTTGCTTCAGGCTAAAATATAGATTCATTTTTTTAAAAATACTTCGGGTCAGCCAGAATACAGTATAAATGCTTCTTTTATACCATACTTTTAAATATCATCACTTTTCAATATATTTTCCAAAATTTAGTACTTCTAACAGTCTTTGTGAATTTTACTAAGACTCTTTGTGTGCTATATATCACATGAAATGTGGGTATTTAAAAATATATATTTGTATAACACTGGACCTAAGAAAATAAGCTACAAAGCATTGCAGTTACATGACTGAAGAGTATCCAGAAGCCTCGAAATGTGATCTGGAGAGATGAGGCCCAAGTTTAAATTTGTTCAAGTTACTGAGTTTTGAATGAATTAAAATCATGCCTATGGATGGAAACTTGCCATTTTTTTGCTGAGAGTGAGTCACACGATTTAGTGTAGTAATTCTCACTATGAGGGGGTGCGAGTTTTTTTCAGTGTATCTTGCTAAACTTACCATTTTAATTGCCATTTGAGCCATACTTCCACCCTATCCTTCCATGTGCCATTCCCAGAACAGCTCACCACTCACTAGAGTTCCTGGGATTGACCATCGTCCCTGGAGCCAGCACCATATTTAAATGCCCACTGTGCACCCCGACAAACACTGTCCATCAGGAGCTGCCCTGCATGGTTCCTGACATTTGCCCTGGACTTGACAGACAGGGCGAAACCCTTTGTCCCACTTTGCAGGCATGGTCCTGGAAATCCTGCTTGTCTTCTTCCCCCATGACCAGCAATGAAGACCACGCCACACAGAAACATAGAATATAGCATCAAGAGTAGGCCATTTGACCCCTTGAGCCTACTGTGCCAATAAACATGATCATGGTTGATCACCAAGCTCAATTCTCTAATCCCTCCCTCCCCCATATTCCTTGATCCCTTTAGCCACAAGAGCTACATCTACCCCCTTTTTGAAAACACAACATTTTGGCCTCAACCACTTTCTGTGTTAGTGAATTCGACAGGCTCACAACTCTCTGGGAGAAGAAATTTCTCCTCATCTCAGTCCTAAAAGGTTTACCCCTTTTCCTTAAACCATGATTCCTGGTTCTGGATTCCCCCACCATTGGGAACATCCTTCCTGCATCAAACCAGTCTAGTCGTGTTGGAATTTTATAGATTTTTATGAGACACCCCTCATTCTTCTAAATTCCAGGGAATACAATCCTAAGCAACTCAATCTCTCCTCATACATCAGTCCTGCCATCTCAGGAATCCATCTGGTAAATCTTTGTTGCACTTCCGCTACAGAGAAAAAAAAAAGTCTTTCCTCAGATATGGACACCAAAACTGCCCACAATATTTCAGGCGTAGCCTCACCAATGCACTGAAAAGGGCAAGACATCCTTGTTCCTGTACTCATATCCTCTTGCTGTAAAGTCCAACATACAGTTTACCTTCTTTACTGCCTGCTGAACCTGCATGTTTACTTTCAATGTACGAAGATACCCAGGTCTCATTGAACATTCTCCTCTCTCATCACCACTCACCCTTGGACTGGTTTCAGAGGCTGTGCTTGAGTTACTGTGCTGGGATCCCCTGACAGCAGGCTATACCCATTGACTGGGCTGAGGCCTCCTGACAACCATGGTAACCATGGCTTTGTGCCCGTATCAAATGGCACAGCAAGGCAGTATTAAAATGAAATAAAAACAGAAACTGCTGGACAAACCCAGCAGGTCTGGCAGCCTCTTTGGAGAGAAAGCAGAGTTCTTGTTTTGAATCCAGTGATCCTGCTTCAGAACTGCCTGTGTATTAATATGAGCCAGGTTTGTCTGGCTGAGGGAGCAAATTGCGAAAATGGCCATCCGAGACACTAAGTAGTGTCAAACCACAATGTAAGATTACAAGAAGAATAGTCCCAGTTGATATGACACATCAGTAAACATGACAAATGCACAAATAGTCAAAGTCAAAGCTGCAAATTGCTCCTCATTAACATTAGGACAGTCGTCCTATAAACTAGTGAAGCAAAATCCTGACACAGTCACACACACACAAACATAAATTACAGACAATATCCCAGTCTTTTCCATCACTGTCCTTGGGTGTATCCACAGGAAGGATAGAACCACCAGAAATGGCAATACAGCAGTACACAAACAAAGGGTATGGGAATCTTCAACATTGACTTCAGAACCTAAGAATTCTCATCACATTAGGCCAAACACGGGCAAGGAAGCCTGCTGCTGTTTATCAACCACTAACCCCATCGCCCTGGATGAATTGACACATCTTCATATCTAATGCTACTTGGAAGAGGCACTGAAGGAGTAGCACAGGCACAGAATACACTCTGTGTATCTATCCTCTGGAGTGGCTCAGGACTATCACTACTTTTTTTTTCTTTATTCATTCACAGAAGGAGGGCGTCGCTGGCTTTTGCCCAGAGGACAGTTAAGAGTCAACTATACTGCAGTAGGTGTGGAGTCACATGTAGGCCAGACCAGGAAAGGATGACAGTTTCCTTCCCTAAAGGACACTAGTGAGCCAGATGGGTTTTTCTAACAATAGGCAATGGATTCATGGTCATCATTAGACATTGGTCATCATTCTGGATATTTACTGAATTCAAATTCCACCATCTGCCGTAGCAGTATTCGAACCCAGGAGGCAATGAGCTAGTGGTATTATCGCTGGACTGACTGAGCTTGCTGAGTGCTGAAGGTCATATCATCCAGACTGGGGCAAGTGATGAGAGAACTGACAAGATAGAAAAAGTACCTGACCAATCAACCTGTTACACAAGCATGTGTCCAGTTATCACAGTCCCATGGAAACAATCTTCACACTGAAGAAACAGGTTTCAAACTGTCCATTAGTGAATTTCATAGGTTAATTTAATGAAACTGACAAAAATCAGTGTTAGCTTCAGGCTTTCAAAATATGGATTTTTTTTTTCTGAAATACTAAGGGTCAGCTAGAACACAACACAAACACTTGGAATGGATAAAATTTCAACAAATTGAACAGTTCAAAATTAGGTATCATGAGATAATATGGAACATTACCAACAGCAAGAGAGTTGCATTCCACCTCAGTATGTAATCTCATGGCTTGGCAGTTCACTGACCCCACAGTCACCATTAAGCCAGAGGACCAACTCGAGTTTAATGAAGATCATGATTACCATCACAGGTGTCAATCTTCAGCTAAATGGATTCACTCTACATTATTTCAAAACAGTCAGAGTTCTCTGGATACTGAAAAAATTGTATGTGTAGATAACTTCCTGAATGGAACATGAATGACTAGTACTCCAGAACCAGCTGGGCTTTTATCCAAGGTGGTTGAGTGCAGCTACAAGATTGGCATGTATCCTACAAACAAAAAAAATTGCCCAGATATGTCCTATGCATTAATAAAAAAGGATGAAATCTAATCTGGCAAATTGCTGCCCATTATACACTCATCATATTGCTATCATCGATATTGCTATCAGTTGGTATTTTGTCACCACATCATATACTCATTGATGCTCAGTTTGGGTTATTTTAGGACAGGTCTAATAGTCTTGGTTGTTGGAGGTCAATCATCTAGTCACAGGATATCGCTGTGGAAGTTCTCAGGACAGTGTCCTTGGCCCAACCATCTGCAGTTGCTTCATCAATGGCTTCCCCTCAATGTAAAGTCAGAAATAGATATCCTATGTTCATTGATGATTCCACAATGTTTGGTACCATTTACAACTCCTCAGCTAATGAAGCAACTGTGCCTGTGTGCATCAAGACCTAGACAACTTTTAGGCTTGTTGTGAACGCTGGTCAGCTGGGACCAGTGACAGTAATGTCACTTGCTACTTACACAGCAAGTTATTCGCATCTCCAACAAGAGTGAACCTAACCAGTCATAATCTTTTCAGTATTACCATCTCTGGATTCCACACCAATCAACATTCTTGGAAGTTACAATTGGCTAAGAATGTCACTGGATCAGTGACATAATTACTGTGACTACAAGGGTGGGTCAGCTCCTGTCCCCAAGCCTTTCCAACATTTACAAGGCCAAAGTAAGAATGTAATGGAATCCTCTCAAATTAAGAGCAGCTAAGAGCAGCTCCAAAATTATTCTTGACACCAAACATTACTCAGGACCAAGCAATCTGTCTACTTGGCACTCCATTCAACACTTTAAATGTTAATTCCGTGTGTATGTACTGTACGCAAGATATATTACAACAACTTGTCAAGGTTTCTTTTGACAGTACTTCACAATAACACAACCTCTACCATATAGAAGGACAACAGGAATAGAAACAGGCCATCATCATGGATCGGAATCCTGACATGCCTGACCTAACAGTGCTGTGACAGCACATAGACGACAGAGACTGCCCCAGTTCAGAAGGGCAGCCCATATTCTCAATGGCAGTCAGAATTGGGCAATAAATGGGCCTTGCCAAAGCAGCCACATCCCACATCAAGGAACAGATGAAGCGTATGATAAAATAAGATCAATTTATTACTAAATAAAAGAGAGTTGATTCTTACTTCTTTTGACTAAGTCTGAGTTGTATCAAGCCATTTGGAGGGATTTCTCCATGAGGCCTAGTGGATTTTCTCACTGTATCTTACCAAACTTGCCTCATTAACAGCCTA